TTGAAACATATAGCTCAAATTCAGAACACGTACATTTCACTCAATCTTTAAGGGGTTAATAAAGAAAGATTCAGGAAACAAATCAGAACAACCAAAAGGGCACAACAAAGGCCCAATAAGTGTACTAAAAAACATATACATAATATAAATTTTTTAGTACACTAATAAGAGCATTTTCCCAGCTTTTAGTTCACAGATCAAGTGGGAGAAAGTAAACAGAGGAAAAATGGAAAAAGAAGAGGAGCAGTTAGAGATTGATATTTACATTTTTATGTTATTTATTCATTAAATATATAATGTATAAATACAGATTAATTTTACTGGTTCTATTTTTTCCACTTTTTTTAGTCACTTCTCACTTGATCTGTCAACAAAATCAACATTTAGTGACTGTCCCCTAGCCATCATAATCTTTTTTCCCTTCAGTCGTCTCTTTTTTTGGTGTCACAAGTGGAATTCAAAATCATAAATCCAAAAAAAATGATATATCAATTTTAGATAAATATAGATTTTTATTTACTGTACCTCCTATATTCCCTCTATTGGTTACTTTTTCTAACATGATCTGAGAACCAAGTGGTGGGAAAATGCTCTTATCAGTCAACTACAAAATATATATATGTAATATTATATAATGTATATATTTTACAGTACACTGACTGGCCCATTTGTGCTCCATTTTGGATCTTCTGATTTGTATCCTGAATGAGTTTTTCATTACCAAAATTCTGCCAAGCCAATCCAACATATGGTGTTTATATTTCAGCCAAAATAAGACTTCCAATGTGCACAAGTCTACTGCACATGATTAGCTGACATCAATAATCAATTCAAGCTGAGAGGTGAAATGTACTGGCTTTCTCTGTGTTGAAATTTTATATATTTTGCAATAATGTATTAAACCAGGACCTGTTCTTCTATTACCTGTCAGAATTATTAAATACTGATTGCTAACAATGCTGTTTTCCAAAGGGAACACTGTGTCAAAATAACTACATGTTAGAGCAAGGCATACATGCAATATTTCTGTAAGAACTGTGAGCATGTTTACTAAGAAATTTGAACTTTTACGATCTACTGGTGAAAGTATTAGCATTACTTTCATTTTAATTCATAAAGTCATGTACATTCTACATGTTTTCAGAAACTTTCTCAATCCATCCAATTTCAAGCTGAATTTAGATATTGTGGCTTTAGACAGTTATTCTGCTATTGAGTTGCATGAAATGAACTGCTTTCAGTAAAAATTTTTCCGCTTAACGGACAAATGATGAATTTCCATTAAACAGCGTGGACCACCATTACTAGAAGAATTTCGATTTAGTTCTGAAGACATCATTTCTTCCCACATGTACCATTATCCAACTGAAATAGCCACCCTCCAACAGAATTCAATTAGATGGAATGTAAACATAGCAAGGTAAATGGAATGCCATTAGCATCAGTGTAAGCTAAGTGGATCGAAGAAACTCACAATGAGGACAGTAGACGCTTTCAACAGTATCAAACATTTTTGTTAGTGCATTGCAGATGGCCAAATAGACAACATATCCCCCCCCCCTAGTGATCCCAAGTTTGCAAGTGAATGTAAATATTCAAATGGAAAGCAGTTTGCATATTCTCATCTAGCTATACGCCTCCCTCAACTTAAAATTCACCCTGGGCTAATAATGACTTTATTTTAACAACCAGTATTAATCTGTGAGGCTGCGTAAAGCGTAGTTAATTACAATTAAATTGTATTCCCCATTGTGATTCTCTAATAGCACCTTAAATGTGCTGAATCTAATGCAAAATATTTCCAGGCTCTCATTTTGTACAGCATCTCTGGTAAATGTATCACTGAACTAAATGGAACGCTAAATGTAGAACTGTCTCCTAAAATCAAATGTATAAAAATCAAGCAATGCTGTCAGTATCCTGATATTATTTTCATACAAACAAGCTATGGTAAGTCAATCTGTAATCATGACTTCAGATCAGACTGATGTTTACTGTATTTTCAAATACTCGGTGACAGTTACTGTTAGGGCTGGATTTTGCCTTCCTAAGCCATTTTGCCTCCTCCTTAACTTTCTTAACTTTACATTAATTGCACTATCTGAGTCTTCAACTGCATTTATTCCTCAACTTTATGCATTACTCTCTTTTCCACTCTATTATAGTCTGTAAGTTCATGGTGTGTCTGGTTTCTCTCCTCTCTCCAGTATGTCTCTTTTTTCCATTGGACTCTCCTCTTTTCAGTCTTCCTTCCAAAAGCAGAACAGTCTCCCCTTCATCTTGCCTTAATGTTGTATTATACATAGGCTGAGACATGCTTGCAAAAACCAACAAATATATATATATATATATATATATATATATAAATACTTAAATGGGCCTGTAGTAACTTCCTATAATATTGTAATAACATTATATTATAATAACATTATAATAGTAAAGCATAGAATTCATGTTATTATATGCATCTTCCAAATTGGACTAATAAAGGGTGACTTAAATATTTAAATCATTAGAAAAAGGTGTTGCCAAATGCAGATAGTGTACCACGCAAGCAGGCAATTTTATTTTTATCTACACATAAATCCAGTCCCATAAGCAATCTACATTTTTTAAGTCATAGTGATCAATAGTTCACTGCAGACATATCTTCCTGTGTAAAGTTGAAAAGATTGGTAACCAGCAAGGTCTTCTGCATACGTAGTCCCTCCATTTCAATGCATTGAACATTCAGGGATGTTGCTTGAACATCACTGTTTTTAAGCATAGGTAGCTTCTTCTCTTACTTCTCTCATAAAGAACAAGGGACTACAAAACTAACTTTTACTGTATATAATGGAATGACAAGTATGCACAATAGACACAGCAAGGGGTGCTTTGATGTAAACTGTATTAAAGGGACACTATAGTCACCTGAATAACTTTAGCTTAATGAAGCAGTTTTGGTGTATAGAACATGCCCCTGCAGCCTCATAGCTCAATCCTCTGCCATTTAGGAATTAAATCCCTTTGTTTATGAACCCTAGTCACACCTACCTGCATGTGACTTGCACAGCCTTCCATAAACACTTCCTGTAAAGAGAGCCCTATTGAGGCTTTCTTTATTGCAAGTTCTGTTTAATTGAGATTTTCTTATCCCCTGCTTTGTTAATAGCTTGCTAGACCCTGCAAGAGCCTCCTGTATGTGATTAAAGTTCAATTTAGAGATTGAGATGCAATTATTTAAGGTAAATTACATCTGTTTGAAAGTGAAACCAGTTTTTTTTTCCATGCAGGCTCTGTCAATCATAGCCAGGGGAGGTGTGGCTAGGGCTGCCTAAACAGAAACAAAGTAATTTAACTCCTAAATGACAGTGAATTGAGCAGTGAAATTGCAGGCGAATGATCTATACACTAAAACTGCTTTATTTAGCTAAAGTAATTTAGGTGACTATAGTGTTCCTTTAACAATTCAAACCAATTTATACTATATAATTTATGTACAATAAGCATGATGAAACTGTTCCCTTAAGGATGAAATATATTCTCTTCTGTGAGTTAAAACCTAAAAGCACAACTGGAGTTTGACAAAAAACATGTTGATGTAGCAATAGGAGATAAGTATTTGAGACTAAATGTAGCACAACAACACAATCAAAGTAAATGAGAATTCTGAGAACAGACAAAATCTGAGAGAAACTCAATAGCTTGCCCTTTGGTACATTAATGCTCATGTCTCATAAAAGTTATTGCTCACTTGTGCCATTACAGAAAGAAAATATTCTGAAACACATCAGACTGATCCCACCCATAAGGTCTATCCAGAACCGGAATGCCAGCAAGTTCTCTATGCACAAGAGATACAGCAACCCCAGACAATCGTTTTGGCCTTCTATATGTAGCACAATACTTGCACTGACCAATGCCAACTCCACCCAATTCGGTTTGGAAAGTGAAATGTATGTTACATATATTAAAAAACTGTTCTTTTAAAACTTTAATAACAAACAAACTGATAGTAGCTTTTTAAACCCAGTTTTATTACCATTGGTTAGTTTGTTAAGTTAATTCATATTGGATGTTGAATTCTTAAAAACACCATTATCGTATTTTGCAATAAATTTATAAAGAAGGGTGTATCATATTTCTAAGCAGAGATTTTACAAAGATTGGTTTGCACTTCTTTGTCTGTGGCTAAAATTGGAAAATGAATGGGAAACAAATTGTATATCACCACAACTATATTTAGTATCATCTCGGTTACAAGAGAATTCTTATACATTATTAACCCAATGGTAAAGAACCAGTATTGCCAGTAAGGTTGGTGCAGCAGCTCCTAATATCACCCACATGGACATTCCCTCCAGTGGTGGAATTACCATCAGTGCAACCAGTGTGACTGTCCTCATGGACGTTGGGGGCCCATCGGGTAGCCCATTCACTTAAGGTAAACCTGATAGGCATGTGTGATAAGGAGCCTGGTCAGGTGCTGCAGGCCTTTAGCAGCGTTACCAGCCCTTTCAATGTTGGCAGCCATTGCTGGGAGGAAGTGACTACTTGTCACTTCCTACAAGCTTACAGAGCATGAGGGCTGCGAGGATGGAAGAGGCACAGAGAGGGAGGAAGAGCGCATTGCAGACAGAGAGCCTCGATAGGCTCAGACACCCATCAACCTTATTCAGCACAGGAAGCCACCCTCCTGCACCCAAAAGTTATGGAAGTGGGGCGTGGCTAAAGATTTAGAATAGATACAATACTTGTCTCAACTTCACAATGTTGTAACTTGATAGTGGTTTTACAATCGATGTCAACCATTTGTTAAAGTCATGACATGACATGTCAGCAACAAATGAATACTGCAACAAAAAGGCCCTCGCTAAAGATAAATCATCAAGCCTCATTTACAATATGATGAAGAGTGAAGATGTTGCCTTTTTTTTTTTTATTCTTTATTTTATTGTGCAGAGTTAACACAAGTGCCCACAGTGCCACAACAGCAAACATATGCATATTTAGTAACAGTTTTCATCCGTAGGTTGGCATTAGTAAACATTGCACATTTGAATTATTTTATAGTCATGGTATCAGCTATCAAGCCGGGCATGACTGGTCCAGAGGGAGCCAGTGAGTGTGTTGTCCTGGAGTGCAGATCAGGCATGTGTAGTGTTGCGTGTGTTCTAGGGTTTTGACCTACAAGGTGAGGTTTTGGGTGTATGGTATGAGGTCTGTTGTGTCTCTCTATTTGTCTGTTTATCGAGTCCCCAGTATGGGAGGGAGAATTGTTGCCACTGATGTGGGTTGCCTCTGGCTGGTATGCATCCCCTACTGGGGACTACCCCCTACCCTTTGTGTGAGTACGTCTGTTTGTATTTATAGGATTCGGGCTGGGGGGGGAGCGTTGATATGTGTCTGGCCTGTGGTAAATCCGGCCATGAGTGGTTATGTGCCTCGGCGTCGGGAATATATCTAACCGGTGTGTTGGTGTATGGAGGCTAAGTCGATGAGGTCTATACAGATGTGGTGTGACAATATAAAAAAAAAGAAAAAAGTATTAAAAAATAAAAGTCATCTTGGGTAAACCAAAGAATAGATTGGAGTGGAGCTTAGTGGGTATCAACAGTGGAGTCCATAAGGGAGTAGAGCGGATCCATCTTGGTTTGGATGTCACATCCTGGAGATTTGCTGTATTAGCAGTCTCTGAGAGTTGTGGCGGTATCTTTTTTTTTTGTTCTTTTTGTTGTAGTCCCTCAGGGGGTCTTTCGTTGGTGCATTAGACGAGTGGGAGCTCCTGGGATGAATTCGGCCACGGTAGTTGGGTCCACTCAGGTGAGGTCTGACCCCTCCGTGTGAGTGGGCGGCAGCAGACCTGCATTGTGTAGATGTGAGTCCAGTTCAGGGTAGCTCCTGGCTCGGTACATCGTGTCTTGATGGGTAAAGGTGATCATATTTGGAGACCCCCATTTGTACTGGATATTCTTATTTCTGAGGTGTTGTAGCAGGAGTTGCATGGCCTTGCGCCACCCCATAGTGCTTTTGGTCAGGTCTGGGAAAATGGACAGCGTGGCTCCCTCAAATGACAGTGGTGTTCTCCCGCGTGCAGCCGCCATTAGTAGGGTTTTGTCCTGCAAGGTCTGAAAGTGGAGTATTAAGTCGGTGTGTGCCGTGGTCGGCGCTGTTGCAGGCTTTGGTAGGCGGAACATGCCATCTAGTCGTACTGCTTCGGGATACCGCGGATCTTTACATTGTAACGTCTTCGCTGGTCTTCTAATGTATTTATTCGGTCGCTGGATGCCTGTTGCTGCTGTCTTATTTCCGTTAGTGCTTGCTCCAGGGTCTTTATCCTGGATTCCTGGGTGTTTGATGTGGTTTCCAGTTGTGTGACCCTGGTGGTGACCCCCTCTATTGCCACTTTAATGCCAGCATGCTTTTAAGTACAGAGGCAGTGACTGGCTCTTCTGTAGGGGTGCGCTGGGGCTTTGAGGTGGGTAGTAGGACACATGTTGCACCTTCCCTGGGGTCTATGGAGAAGTTATCTGAGGAATAGGAATAATCTTCCTCACCTGCCGCCATTTTGTCCCATGCGGTCTTTTGCGAGCGCCGGAGAAGTTCCCTGATATCGTGGGTGTTAGAGTCCTTGTCGTTTTTTTTTTGTGTTTCCGACCCATTTTGTTTCCGGTGTCGGGTGAGGGTTGGAGTGCCCGGGTAGTTTCGCTTGTTAGCCCAGAAAAGCAGGTTTGTGCGGTATCTGGTACGGAGCTCCTGGGGAACGCGTCCGCTCTGCTCCTCCGCTAGCTCCCAAGTTTTCCCAGTTTTTTGTCCCTTTTAAAGAAGAGACAGAGGCTACTATGGAAACCATAAGCCACTATTATTTAAAGGTTCTTTAAATTTTATTTAATTGTACCAGCATTTTTGTGTGATTTTCATCATGAATAATTTATTTATCCCCATATGAGAGGGACAGGGGAGAAGGAAAAAAATTGGGAGTGTCTTTTTGGTGTTCCATGGCAACCCATTTTGGACTTTTGTATTAAAAAGTAAGTGAATCTTAAGTTACTAATGCAACGAATAGAAATGTGAATAATGGAATTTATCTGGTGATTTTACAAAAATAAAAAGAGACATATGAGAGTTCATTGTAAAATTTATTAAGTAGTAGCACAGGTTTCCATGTCAACGCAATTTTAACTATTGTTGTGCAGGTTCGCATAGCAACGTGATCTCAACTTTTACATATAAAAGGTTACGAATTCCATGCTACTAATGTAGTTAATGGATGGGTATATAATTATTGTCACAGACATATTACCTAATTTACAGGAAATGTGGAATCACACAAACAGAAGTTCTAATAAAGACGTAATACCGGGCCTTAGAATGGCCGGATTTAAGATTAATTAAGATAGAGAAAAAGTCAGTAGTAGCCAAGGTCAGGATAATAGAAATACGTATATACAAAAAACAAGCCAGAACAGAATTTCAGAAATTCAAGCCAAGGTCAATATCAGAATATGTAGAGAGACTTACTTTAAGCAATAAATGTGTATCCAGACAGAAACCATGATAGCTTACGGAATAAGGGCTCACACAAACATTATTATAGGCTTGCATGTGTTCTGATTGCACCACGTCATCTCTGAGACTTCAAAAAGTATGAAAATGGGGTTTCCTAGATGACGTGGTCACTATAAGGGTGGATGTGACATTTTGTAAATTACATAAAGATGCGCCATTCAAGCATGCAGCTTCCGAATTTATACATGGAGTATGAAGTTACGGTTGAGTGGTGGATTGAGCCCCCTGGAACATAAAGGAGGAGCGGTTCACCCGCACTGAATCAGTAAGTATATTCTTTTTCGATCCTTCTTGTTTTAGGGCACAAGGTCATATAGAGCATTTGGCCCAGACAACCTGAGGAGGGGTTCGGCTCGAAGTTGAAAAGGTAAGTAACATTACTGTTATTTGTTGATTTTGTTTGAATATTAATGATACAATCCTTGCAATTAAGATTAATTAGATTAACTTACTGGCTATACTTTACTCCACTGATAAAGCCTAAGTAATGGCGAAACGTGTTTGATAATCAACTTGTATATTACTTTGGGACAATCAGTTGCATCCTGATATGTGTAACAGAGATTCTTCCCGGGCTGGTATATGCTGGTAAAATTTGCACTAAATGTCCAAACGTTTTCATTCGCTTTTGTATAATACATTTTTACTAGTTTTTATATATACTACACTATTTGTTTCCCCTCTCTCTTTGCATGTCCATGAAAACTGCAGAGAACATTGAAAATAAGGGGGCCCTATCGTTTACTGTTCTTGAGTGAATAGTTTAACTGACAATATAAGAAAATCAGTGGAACTGAGGAAACATCAACGTCAGTTGGGGCTCCAAGGGCCACAGGCATTAACTGATGACATCATAGTTGGCATTCAAAGCTGAGTTTGAGATTCTCTCAAATTTAAAGTTATTAAAATTTATTAAAAAAAGTTTGTTTAGGAAAACGTTTCTGCCCTACATGTCCAACACAGCTCTCCAATAAATCTTGGAAGCCTTTTATATATGTGTCAAAAATATGTAAACTATACACCTGATAATCTCTATTACATGTGTTGTTACACAGTTCTTTACGTCTTCTATACCTACACTCCACTAACTCTACGGCAGTGCTAACCAAAATTATTGGTGAATAATGACAGATGTTTCTGAGCACCAAGCTGTGATCAAATAAGATTGATGCATAAAACGTTAACTTGTTCACGGCAATAAAATTTGTTTTGGCAGAACCACGTAGTCTGAAAATAAAACATTTTTCAGCACAGACAATTTCAGCCATATGGCAGCTCATCTCATCCAGATTTTGTTAATGGAAAAGATTCAGGAAAACAAATCAGATGAACCAAAAAGGAAAGAAAATTGGCTAATCAGCATACTGCAAAATATATAGATAATATAAAAATTATGTAAATATTTTGTAGTACACTGATAGACACATTTTCTGCCATTTGGCTCAAAGATCATGTGAGAAAAAGTAACCAATAGAGAGAAAAATAAGAGGAGTAATAAAAATAAGATAAGTAAAAATAATATATATTTATATAGTATATATTTAATTGCTATATCTGTATAATCTATACATATAGAAGTTTTAACACTCCTCCTTTTTCCCCTCTACTGACTACTTCTCACTTGATCTGTGACTCAAATGATGGAAAAAGAGGAGAAAAAGTAAGAATATTATATGTAAAAATATTGTTTGATTATAATATTTAACATATAACAAATAAAAAGTAAATGTAGATTTTTTTATTACTTCTTTTTAACCCTGTTTTAGTCACTTCTCACTGTAAATAAAATCATCCTTTAGTAGCAATCCTCTAGTCATCAATTATCTTTTTCCCAACAATCATAATTTTTTTTGGCACCACTGGCAGAAGTCAAAATGACAAATAAAAACGAGCAAGGTTGTATATTGCGCATTTTGTTTGTGATTCACCAGTGATTCAACATTCCGCCAAGGAGTTTGGCAAATTTGTACAATCACCTGATTGGACCAATTTTTTGTGAATTGTAGTTCGCAACAAAATTATCTTCAAGTCTAATAAAAACTTGGTATACATGGCTTCTTTATATTCTATAATATTTGCCACAATTCAATTGCTCTCCTAGCCCCTAAGGAAATAATATTTATCCCTGGATTAATCTCTCCCAAATATTCTATTCCTATCATAATAGCCTTACTTTTGCACCAACCTTACTTTCCTTTCTTGTCTCATCTCATCCTACCCAAAAACGTAACTTAATTTTTTCTTCTCTAGTTTCCTTCACCTCCCTCAACTTATCTGCATCTCTCTGTCCCTTTTCGTGCCCGGTTCATCCCATGTAATCTGGTAAAATCAGTGGAATTCAGCTGTTATATCCTTGCTATCTACTTAGAGGTTCAGTTTACTTAGCCCAGTGGTGCTCAGGAAGGAGCAGTAGTAGGCAACCATGATACAGACATCATTAATAGGCTGACAGAGTCTCCTGTTGTTCTCATTCACTCAGTACCAGCCAAATATAGATGTAAGTATACTGTATATAATGTGAAAATGGAACTTCACATACATAAATGTGAATTCATCTTTAGCAATTAAACACTCATAATAAACTTCCTCCAGAAGGGACATAAACTCTCTCAGATATTGTGCCATTGTATTATGGAGAGTGGTGGAACTACCACCAGTGCAGCAGGTGAACTGTGTGTCAGTGTGTGTATATCACATGTGACTGCATGTGTATCTATCTTTGTTTGTGTATGTGTATCTGGCTGTGTCTGTATGTGTATCTGTGTGTCTGTATATCTGTGTATCAATCTGGGTGTTTGCATGTGTGTCTATGTGTATCTGTTTGTCTGTATGTGTCTAAGTATGTATCTATGTTTTGTCTGTGTGTCTATGTATCTGAATGTGTATCTGTGTATTTATGAAACTTTTTGTCTGTATGTGTATCTGTATGTGTATATCTGTGTGTCTATGTATATATCTGTTTGCCTGTATGTGTATGTCACATTACCTTATGTTGCCCAGGCTGTACCTCCAGCATATGTAGAGGAACCTTTCACATAGTCCCTCTCCTGTCCTCAGCAGTTCAGACGCTGGCTGCTGTATCTCCGCCCATTTTTATGATGCCGCACACTGCCGTCATGACACTAATGACATTATGACCCGCCAAAACATTTGAATTTTAATGTTTTGGGAGCGTGGCTATAAAATGAAAGAGACACACTATAAAAAAGTCTCCTAGGGCATGAATCATTGCCCTGTTGTGCCCTATTTTTGATTCCCAATAGTGACATCGACCGTTGTATGGACTAAAGAAAAACAAGTTACCTGCGCTCTCTCCTTAATCCCTATGTATTTTTAAACAAATGGAGGTTTTTTTAGTTACCTCCAATGGCCATGAGAGGATAAGCCCACCTGCCAACGTCAAGGCAGACTCACCCAGGTGGGTCCTAACTTTAACCATTCACCTTGCTTCCTTGAGCATCTGGCAAAGATCTCTAATGAGACAGAAAGGGGTATTTTTTATATACACCCTATATATTATTAACCCTTAATAGGGAACACATGGGATGGGCGGCTGCATTGTAAAAAGGCTAAGTGATACAATAAAATGGATACAAATGCAGAAAGATAAGTCCTGTGCTCACTCCCATCACTGGGTGGCAGCAATAACTACAGTACACATCAGCCCCAATATATAGTAAAAACCAAAGAAAAACAAGTAACCTGCGCTCTCTCCTTAATCCCTATGTATTTTTAAACAAATGGAGGTTTTTTAGTTACCTCCAATGGCCATGAGAGGATAAGCCCACCTGCCAACATCAAGGCAGACCCCCCCCCCAGGTGGGTCCTAACTCTAACCATTCACCTTGCTTCCTTGAGCATCTGGCAAAGATCTCTAATGAGACAGAAAGGGGTATTTTTTTTCAGCATGCCTGTCTATCTGCAAAGTACCCACAGGGAAGGGGGAATTAATATTTCTTTTGAAATAATAATTCATTAAATCCCCTATAGAAACACTAAATCCCTATACACACACAATATACACGATGAAGAGGTATGATCGGGAAGATATTGGGAAAGGGATAGGGCTGTAAAGATTTTTCACACAGGTTGCCTATTGGCCTAATGCCGGCACTGATGCTCCATACAAAAACATACTTACTTTCAAACAAACACTGCTCAGTGCTAAACACAACACTGCAAGCATGGGTGAATGGTAGATTC